GGGGGGGGCGGGGTAATTCCCAGCCTCCTCGCCTCTGACCGGGACTTCCTTGTGGCACTCTGGCTCTTCACGGGATTCTATGAGGGCAGTAGGGGGGCGCAGAGGGACAGGGCTCTGTATCCAAAGCTGGCAGACTCAGGCTGGGCACCTGGCCGCTGGGAGCCTGCAGTTCCTCATCTGTGTCAGCTGAGTGTCCTGCCTAGGACACATATTCATGGTGGCGATGGTGTGTGTGGGGGCGGGGGGTGAGGTGGGGTATGAAGCTCTGTGGCTGACATGCCCCATGAGTGGAAGTGGCAGTGGGCACCACAGGCTTCAGTCAGTGATATCAGCCCCTCCGAGGCCACAGCAGGGCCCCAGACATCTGCAGAGCTCCTTGCCGCCCGTGTCCCCCAACACAGTGACACTCACCCATGTCTGGGTTTGAGTTTTCAGCAATTTGACAGGACAAAAAGATCTCAACAAGGACTGAATTCCTAATTATATTACATTTATAGTCATGCCCCCTTGTTCCCTCTGACCACAGATGGCCTGGTGTCCACTCAGCCAGCCCGGCTCTCTTCCCTCCCCATTCCCTGCAGTCCATGTCCCTGGCATCTCTGTGGATCTGAGAGAGTAGGACACACAGTTTTCATTACGAGTAAACACCTAGTTATTACCATGTGGTCTAATGTGTATTTAGAAACACCCTAAAAGAGCATCCTTTTATGAAAAGTCTTGGAAATAGAAAATATGTCAAAAGTAAAAATCCTGCTGCATCTTGTCTTTTCTCGATTGATTGCTGACTTGGTTGGGGGAGTGACTGGGTCCATGTGCAGCTGAGGGGAAACTGAGGAAGCCTGGGCCTCCTGAGCCTGTGCCTTTGGTCCAGCCCCAACCTCCGCCCCCCAGGCTGGAACCAATCCCCTCCAGCTAATGCCCCATTCTCCTCATTTGAAATTAAAATCCTGTTATGAGCCTTATTTCAGCACCTTTGGTTTAAGGAAGAACAGAACGAATCTAAGCAAAATACCATGTGGAGCAAGATGTGAAAAAAAGAAAACCCCAAGAGTATAGCTGGTGAAATGGAGAATAGAGGGCGATGAGCAGAGCCAGGCGGAAGAGGCTGGGTGGGGGTTGGGGGCTGCTTCCAGGCTGCTGTGAGTCACCCAGCTCAGGGAGACCTACTTGTCCTCCTTGGACTCGGTAATCACAGTGATGAAGGATGTGGAGTCTTCCATGGCATCAAAGTACTCAGTATCTTCATCTTCCTCACTGTCCTCTCCTTTGGGAGTCAAGAGGCTTCCTGGAGACACACACGGGGCCAGTGACTTAGTCTGCAGTTTCAACACAGGCACATCTCACCTGTCTGAGGAAGCCGGGAGCCCAAAGGGCCTGCTCTGCCTGTCCTCACAGTGCCCCCAGCCTTGCCCCCACACTGGCTCCCTACTCCTCTCCCTGCTTCTGTCACCTGGCCCTGACTACCCTGGGCCAGCTCCCTTTGCTGGAATCTTATTGCATTCAATGTTATAGCTCTGGCTTGGAGGCCTCCTCCAAGAAGCCTTCCCTGATCTCTCCAGGGTGTGAGCACGTTGGTAGATCTGTGTCTAGCTTCCTTTTTTGATGGGGCCCCTGCTCTGCTCACAGCCCCCAGGTACCATGTGACCCACAGCCCGAGGGCAGGTGGCAGCCATCTGGCCTCCTTGTCACAGAGGGGACAGCTGGGCTGGCTCATCTAACTTTTCTTTTGATAATTTGAACTTAAGATACTGAGAGTCTGCTGCCTGAGTCAGGCCAGTGTGGGCCAGACAAGCCCCGCATGGGCAAGCCAAGGGATATGTGCACTGGGGAACTGGGGGTCAGCTGGCCGAGAGCGAGGCTGAGAATGGAGGAGACAGAGGGTGGGCAGACCACTGGAGCTGTGCAGCCCCACTCACCCTCGCTGAAGCTCTTGGTGGGGTTGGCAGGCCGTCCCGGGGCACTTCGGAAGGCCCGCTCGAGGCTATTGTGCTGCTTGGCTAGCTGCTCGATAGTCTCCTCCAGGTGGATGCGCTGCTCGTGCTCATACTGCAGCGCACGCTGCCATTTCCGGCTGTGCGTCTCTGCTAGCTCCAGGAAGTCCCTGCAAGCCTGGGAGGAAGGGAGGAGCACTAGTGATTGCTCCCACCCTGCACCCCACCCTGCCCAGCTGCAGGGACTGTTCTGCCTCCCCCTCCCTTGCCAGGGTGGTTAGAAGCACGTTCACTGCCACCTTCTATCTCTGTGAGGCCCTGGGACCCTGGCCTTCTCGGAGCCAGCCCAGTGGCTGGCATCCACCCAGGTTGGCTTCCCACAGGCAGCATGTCATTTTGGTAGCACCAAACCCAGGGTTGCTGGCCACACGCTGCCTTCCAGCAGCACAGCCACCCCAGGGCTAGAGGCCCACTGGGCTGCTGCTCATCATGGCTGGCGCCAAGCTGCCCCAGGACTCTTATCTGTCCCATCCTCACTGTGTACTGAGCCTGAGGTTTTGTCACTGACCCCCGTTCTGCCACTGGTACCAAAGGCACCCCTAGCTGGTCCTTGGCTTTGGCACAGAAGGAAAGCCCCATCCTGCTATACTGCCTGGCTCAGAGAGCTAACAGATCTTGTCTGACAGGAACGGGGACTGGAATTTTCTTCCAAGTTACCTCATAGTCTGTATCACATTAACTCAGCTTTTAAGGTTCCCCCTTCAAACTAGTGGCCTACTATGACATCCAGATTCTTTTTAGCTCCCCAGGGTCAGTCAAACTGTCTTTATCATAGTTGAGAGGAGGGCAGAGGCCTCAGCCATCCCTGGAGGATAGTGAGGTCCAAGCCAGTATACCTTCTCTCACTCTGTAAGCCAATAGGAAGGGACCTGTTTCCTCAGCCCAAGCCTGCATCACTGGTCTCTGGCTGCTCCCTCCCACTCCTATTGCACTAGCTAACCCGGACCCCTCGCTGGTCTCCACACACATCATACGCTTTCCTCTCTTGTGGAGGGAGATAGGCACAGGCCCTCCTTTGTGACACAGGGACAATGCAGGGCCAGCCCCGACGGGCTGTTGTGAGGAAGACGGAGAAGGAATGGGGGAGCACAGCACCTGGCAGAAGGAGCTCTTAATGCTTCATTTTCATCCCCTACAAATGAGCCTGCCCGTGCCTTTGTAGCCAGCTCCCGGTCCTCCTCGCGGGCACCACCCCTGACCACACCCGTCTCCCCACACAGAAGCCTCAACTTCCACCACACATTTGCAAGCTTGCTTAATTCTCTGTGGCCTGTGCCTGCTTTTTTCATCCCATGGAACCCCCGAACACAGCAGGAGCCACCAGAGGGCTGAGTGAGCAGGGGGGTGTGGGAGTCCGGTGACCCCTCACAGAGGCATAGCGAGACAGGGGCGGGGGGGTGGGCACTTGTCCCTGGGTGTAAGTTCAAGGGGGCACCAGACGAGGCTCTGAGGTACCACAAATACAAAAGGTGCCTGACTGAGGTGGCCTGACAAGAGCGGGGGAAGGCGTTTCTGCTGATCTTTTGCCATTATCAGCATCTATTCATCTTGAAATTGGGGAGGGGCATGATTTAGAGATTGCCTCTGGGTGCTGGAATTGGGGGGCACAACTTAGAGATTGCCCCTGAGTGCTCGAATTGGGGGGGCACAACTTAGAGACTGCCCCTGGGTGCTCTTTACCCTCGCTAAGCCTAAAGCTTACCTCCCAGCAGCTCTAGTGCAGTCACAGGCTCGGAGGAGGCGCATTCACTAACCCCAGGTTCTGGGTCCCTCTCCTCCGACAGACCTCCTCTGAGGGGTCCTCACGAGAGCATCTCATGGCACGGGGGTACGGGGGCAGTCACCGCTCCTCCCCACTCTGTGCAAGGCCCCTGCTTGGCGCTCCAGGGGGCTGCTGTCATCCTGCTGCAGGCTTGCTGTCCCTCTAACAACCCCTCCTCCAGTGCCTGCCCTCCACCACCTCATCTCACACTCCTAGCACCATGTAGGGTATGCAGGCAAGGAGCCCCTTCCCCTGCCCCTTGCCCCATTCTGAAGACATGGAAATGGAGACCCAGAGTCGTGGCGGCATGATTCACTGGAGGGAACAGCGAGTGTAGTGGACAGGGGCTCAGTGTCAGGAGTCAGGAGACCCGGGTCCCTGCACAGCCCTGTCTGTCAGAGGACAGTGATGCCAACAGACCCTGCGCTCACGAGCTCTGGTCTCGAGTGGAGGAGAGGGATCGTCCCTGCTTGATGGATGAGGAAACCGAGCCTCACCTCCCAGCAGCTCACGTGGTCAAGACTCAGCGGAGGCATGTTCATTCAACCCCAGTTCTGGATCCCCCCTCCTCTGACAGGCCTGGCCGTGCCTCCCCCCTCCTCTGACAGGCCTGGCCGTGCCTCCCCCCTCCTCTGACAGGCCTGGCCATGCCTCCCCCCTCCTCTGACAGGCCTGGCCGTGCCTCCCCCTCCTTTGACAGGCCTGGCCGTGCCTCCCCCCTCCTCTTACAGGCCTGGCTGTGCCTCCCCACTCCCCCGACAGGCCTGGCTGTGCCTCCCCACAATCTGACAGGCCTGGCTGCACCTAAGTCACTGTGACCTTCTTCCCCAGAACAGGCAGGGGTTTATACTGACAAGGGTCTGGGCACAGCAGGTGAGAGGCAGGGCAGGAGCCCTTTGTGGGGAAGGAAAAAATCTCCTTATGTGCTTCACAGGGTCCTGAAGATGGGAGAGGCTGCATCTGGCACAGTCACAGGTCTGGGGCTATTCTGAGTTTGTAAAGTACGCATCTCTGAGATTCACCTTGAGCCTGGGTGGTGCAGGCGGTTTGTGATCGGCTGCTAACCTAAAGGCTGGTCGTTCAAACCCACCCAGCGGCTCTGCAGAAGAAAGGCCTAGTGAACTGCTTCCGCAAAGATTACAGCCAAGAAAACCCTATGAGGTAGTTCTACTCTGTAACACCCGGGGTTGCCATGAGTTGGAATCCACTAGATGGCAATGTGTTTGGTTTTTGGTAAGGTCCACCCGCACATGTGGAGCTGTGGTCATCAGCTATGATGCAATGGAGTGATCCCCATGGTAGGTTTGGGACAGGCCTGTGGTGGGCCTGGAGTGACCGCCATGATGGGGCTATGGCTCCAGGCCTGACTGCTGTTCCCTGGCCTGTGACCGGAGCCAAGCCCTTCACCTCCTTGGCCCTACAGTGGCCTCCCTGCCTAGACCACATCCCTGCCCCCCTCACTCCTCAGGGTGGGGGCCCTGACAGCTGACACAGCAACAGCCCACTCCTGTGGCCCAGAATCGATGGTGCCTCCTTGCTTGTTCTACTCCTCTAGGGGCCTGAAGAACTTTCCAGACCCTTGCAGGAGCCCTGTGAAATGGGAGAGAGAGAGCCCCACCCTACTGCACAGATGGGGGAACTGAGGTTACACAGTCGCACAGAAAGAAGGCAGCACAGCCAGATCCTGAACTAGGTCCCTAGCCCGGAGCTCGGTCCACCTCCGGGCCAGCCCCAGGCTGCTGCTCCAAGAGACCCACTTCCCCATGAACCCCGTTTCCCCATAGCCCTGAGTTCTGCCCCAGCCCAGTTCATCTTGGTTCCCGCCACCTGTCTGTTGACCAAGAAAGCCGTTGCTGGCACTGCAGTGCTGCTGCCAGCTAAGCCAGCCTCATGCAGCAGCTCTGCTAACATTCAGGAGTGTAGTCAGAAACTCGAGGAAGAGCATGGTGGTGGTGGAGGAGCACGCCCTCCTTTCCCCTGCCCAGCGACTGCTTCTGGGAAACCCCACCAAGGCTGAGTCTCGGAAGTGGGACAGCCCAGGGCTCGGGACATTGAGGGGCGAGTGGGACCAGATCCCAGGCCTGCCCCCAAAGCCATGCTCCATCCATGCAGCCAGGCTACCTCCACACCAGCCATGTCCCCCTAGCCTGCCGCCTCAGAGCAGAGTTGGGAGAGTCCAGAGATGTGGGCTGTACCGTGTGTGAAGCCAATTACAGGCAAGACAGATGACAAGGAAGTCAAAGTTTTCTAGGCTCCTACGGCTCTGTGAGTACCCTGCCCAGGGCATGTGTTGCCTCTGGCCTCTGCCCCCTGCCTCCCTCAGCCACCGCTCCCCACTATTTGCCCCATCACTCCGGCCAACCCTCTCTATACCAAAAAATAACAAGCCCGTTGCTGTCAAGTCGATTGCAATTCATAGCGACCGTATAGGACAGAGTAGCACTGCCCCATAGGCCTTCCAAGGCTGTAAATCTTTATAGCCACAGACTGCCACATCTTTCTCCACAGTGTGCCTAGTGGGTTTGAACTGCTGACCTTTTGGTTAGCAGCTGAGTGCTTAACCACTGTGCCACCAGGCTCCCAACTATCTCTGCGTTAATATAGGTGGGTGCTTTGTCTCCATGTAACTCATGTCATTTAAAACAAAACTTATAACAGAGCCACCAGACAACAGTATAAAATAGTAGCCAAAGGCCATGGTACTAATTCTGAAAATTCACACCAGGGGGCCCTATATGGCCTCTGGGCTTCCTAGCAGCAAAGGCAAATAGAGAAACACCATCAGAGAGTGAAGATGATTAGGTGCCCTCCCTCCCACCCTTGATGTTCATGGGCTCTAAATACTATAACGTGACCATTTTCTCTTCTGAGGGAAAATGGAGTATTTGTTGTATCTCCCACAGTCCGGGACTGCTGGTGGTTTCTTACAGACCTGGCCCCAGATCCTCTCCAGCAGCCCCATCCGTCCCACACCCCCTTGTGGCCCACCAGGGATCGTGTCTTCCTGCCCTTCCCTGTCTGAATGCTTAATGCACCTGCCTTTTCAAATGTCTGTCCCCCTCCCTCAAGCCCTGCACCACTGTGGCTCAAGGGCTATTTGGGGCATCCTCACAAGCACCGAGGTAGTTGCTTCTACAGCCACAGAGACCAAGGAGGAAACAGAGACTCAGAGAGGCTGAGGGACTTGCCCAGGCCACCAGGCAGTGCGTGTGGGGCTGGAGTCAGAGTTCCCATGTCCCCAGATGCCTGTCTCCATAGCTCTGTTACAGGTTATTTTGGAAGCACGAGCTCTTGAGGGCAGGGGCGGTGTGGGATCTGTGGCCCTGGGCATGGGGCTGGGCTCCTGGGAGGGCTCA